CCCCCCCCCCCCCCCCCTTATCTGAAGGTCTGGATCCGTCACTGCATCCACACCACATAAGATTACGTTAACGAATTTTTCTTTTTTGATCGCCAGGTCGTGATTTTGTCTGTGATGTGTGTAAATTGGAATTTTCTGGGCCAACCTTTCTCCTGAGGCACAAGTCTGTTCGCTGCCCTGGAATAGCTCAAGTACCATACCTTGTACATCAACCAGAGGCGCAAGATAATGGGACATCCATTAATGGAGACTCTTCGACACATTCTGTCGGTCAGACCGAGTCATCGTATGTTGTTGTTCATCTAGAGCCCAACGCTAATGAAAACCATGTAACGAAAATTGATACGGTGGAGAATTCGCCTTACGTTGTCGTACATGTACAACCAGCGCCTACTACCGGCTCAAACAATCTGGGAACCGGGAAGCGTCGAAAACGGATCCTCGCCGGTGATAAGACAGTCAACGCATCAAAAAACCCTAGACAAGTAAATACTCGACAACGAGCCGCTGTGAATAGAGAGAAGGAAGCCAAGAAAGTCGCGAGCAAAGCACGTTCGACAGTGGATGATGTTAAGGAAGCTAACAAGGTTGGTAGCAAGGGACGTTTTACAAAAGCTCGGGCAAAGCGGTCGTCGAAAGCCCAAACTGTTAAGAATGCTGCAGCCAATAAATCATTGACGCCTAAGAGAACTAAAGAAACAAAACGAACTTCTAGTGCCTCGAGATCTCGCGGCGGAACTGTTAGGAAGGTTAAACAGAATGGAACTGTTCAGAGTAAAAGTGCTGCGCCAACAGAATCAGTCTCGTCGAGTACTGAGGTATCAGGTGACACAAAGAAAGATGGGCAGAGAGCCACGGACGGAAATAAAGCTTTAAAGAAAACGTCTGGAAGAAAGGCAGCGGCCAAAGGCGCGAAAACAAGGAGTCGAGAAATTGAAAAACAGTATGATAAATCAAAATCATCTTCTTCTCGGAAAAGGCGCAGTGAAGATATGGCAACAGCCGAAAGTGATGATATAAGTATTGAGAAACAGAAACAAACTGCTGACAAGACAACGGGTAAAGGGAATAACGCCAAAGCCTCAGAAAAAAAGGGAAGATATATCCCAGCGAAGAAACAGAAGGCGCCTGTTTTAAAAGAGAAGCCTGCGATAAAATGCGAGATTTGTCGAAAGAATTTCAAATGGAAATCGCAGCTTAACTACCACATGCGATGTCACACATCTGAGAAGGAGTTCAAGTGTCCTTTTTGTAATAAAGGTCTGTCGCAGATGTCCTCTCTCAAGCGGCATTTACGCGTCCACAGTGGAGAGAAGCCTCATCAATGTGAGGAATGCGGCAAGCGGTTTCTGGAGAAGACAAGGCTGATATATCACCAAAGAAAACACAGAGGGTATGAACCGGAGAAAAAATACAAGTGTGGTTTTTGTGATAAACGTTTTACATTGAACGCTAATATGAAAACGCACGAGCGTACTCATACTGGAGAGAAGCCTTATCCTTGCCCACAATGCGGCAAAATGTTTAGGCGCAGCTCAGATATTTCCAGTCATCTACGAAGCCACACCGGGGAGAGACCCTACAAGTGTTCCCATTGTCCCAAGGCGTTCACGATGATCTCGCATCGCAAGCGGCATGAAATTATCCACACAGGAGAAAGGCCGTTTAAGTGTGATATTTGTGGTAAAGGGTTTACTCAGCCAAACTCGGTTAAAGCTCACTTGAAGGTCCACGCTAGGAAAGAAGCTCTGGCTGAAAGCCGAGGCGACAATGCCGTGCAACGTCCACGAGAGAGCGTATCAAGCAATGGTGCAACGGTGCAGACCACTGATGAAGCTGATGAAGGTGAATCTAGGGGAGAGATTACACAGAATAGCGGTGCGGAGCAGATGCAGATAGACAACGCTCCCGGCCTGGGATCGACTGCAGGGACTAGTGCTGTAATAACAAGCACTGAAACGCTGTCCAGCACACTAACAAAACCAGTAGGTACCGAACGTTCACATCAAGGGGATGATGATTTAACGCAAGTAGGTATTCAACATCAAGGTGCGGCGAGCCTTTTGTTGTTGGGGACGATTCCTGAAGGACAAACGGGACTTTTCAACTTGCGGAACACTGGAGTATCTGAAACAGCGGCACAGAGCATTGGAGATCACTTGCAGTTAAGTTGCACTAATGCCGAACAGTTTACTATTGTAAGTTCTCAGGTGAATGCAGGATTAATGCCACTGCCCTGTATTCCCCAGGTCGGCTTTGACTGTGAGAATGTACCGTTACAGCTGGATCAAAGCGGTGGACAGAACCACGTCCAGGTTGATGAAGGAGAAGAAACCGCTACCCAATCTACATGTAGAGACAGTCTTCCCAGTAATCTTTGCTTGCGTCAAATGGGTGTGTTTGCTAGGGAAAGGATTGAAAAACGAGCAATGTTTGGACCCTTCCGTGGACGGAAGATACCTTTGAAGGAAATGAATTTTGAAGGGAGTGCCAACATTATGAACATGTGGGAGGTAAGGGTTAATTACACCATGTTTGATCATAGCTTTTTTAATAACTTGTCTAATAGGATGGTACATTATATACCTAATGGTCCCATGTGAAAGTACGTTTGAAAAGGTGTCATTTCATCCACAGACTCAAAGTGCAGAACTACAGCTGTACATACTCAATAAATAGTACCATGTGAAAGTACTGCTGAAGAGGTTTTATTTGAATTGTTACACAATAGTATTTCATCGACAGACTCAAGATTTAGAACTACATACCAAATAAAATAGTAGCATTTGAAAGTACTGCTGAAGAAGTTTCATTTAAATTGTCACACTGTAGGATTTCATCCACAGACTCAAAAGTTACAACCATACATACTAAATAGATGGTACCATGTGAACGTACTGCTGAAGAGGTTTCATTTGAATTGTTACACCATAGGATTTCATCCACAGACTCATAAGTTAGGACTACATACTAAATAAATAGTATCATTGTGAAAGTACTTCTGAAGAGGTTTCTTTTGAATTCGGTTACACCATACGTGTAGGATTTCATCCACAGACTCAACAGTTAGAACTACATACTAAATAAAATAATAGTACCATGTGAAAGTTCTGCTGAAGAGGTTTCATTTGAATTATTACACCATAGGACTTCATCCACAGACTCAAAAGCTACAACCACCTTTCAAGACTGCATCACTGACTCTGAAAATGAAAGGGGTTTAAATGTTGTTCCAGTGCAACTTGTAACCTTCTGATGTTTGTTCGCCAGGTTTTTGAAGGTGGAACAGTCAGCTACGTTATTGATGGTACAGATGAAGATCACAGTAACTGGATGCGGTTTGTGAATTGTGCACGTGACGACAAAGAACAGAACCTCCTGCAAGTGCAGTACCGTGGTGAGATCTACTTCAAGACCCTTGTACCCGTGGAGGCAGGCAGTGAACTGTTGGTGTGGTATCAGGATAG